AAAAACATATACAGTATCTTCATCACTTACCTGTATTTACATTTTTGTATCATTTATTTCTCACTTATGTTGTTTTTTTTATGAACCAGTTACATCAACACCCCCCCCCCCCCAAGTGTAACAAATAGGTAATTTAGTTTAGTTGTTCTAATCTCTGTTCCTTACACTATTTGCAGGATGCTTTTGATGCAGTGGGTTACTTCCAGTTGGCTCTGGCAGCTGCTCTTGAGGACCAAGCTAACACCAAAGATCTCTATGTAGTTCTCATGAAGTTGGCTGAGATCTACTGCAACCACTTGTCTGATGCTCAGTTGGGCCAAGTATACAGAGACAAAGCTCAGAGCCTGAAGAGAATTTTGGCCTTCCTGGRTAACTCTGTTTCTGAAATGGACAAWGCAGACAGACAGTCTGACCAAAAGAGGGAAAAGTGCTTGGATGCTGATTTGAGATATGCTGAGAGGTGTCAAGACGAGTCAGSTCCTAGTCTTTGTACGACCCTCACAAACTCAGAGGAAAGACCTGCGGACATGAATCTTGGAGAGGATTCCAGTCTGACGGGTCAAAACCACGGTCCTGCTGACACAGACAGCAAGTCCTATAGCGACAGTGTCTTAACTTGGTCCTTTGACACTGCCAAGGAGCACATCTCAGACTCCAGCAGCACCAATGACACTGACCAGAACCCAACAGATGGGAAAGAGTCAGAGTTTGATTCTGACCACAGCATGCCCACTCAGATACCTGTCAGTCACACAAGTGGGGTTACCAGAGACACTGATTCTGATACTCAGGACAGTCAGAATACCCCTACTAAAGACACGGATTCTGACACTGATCCAACTCAAACTGAGACTGAAAAGCAGAACCTATGATAAAGCTTTAAGTGAGAATAMTTATGTGAAGGCATAGTTTCCCTGATGCACTTTGTTATTTTTCACAGACATTTCCCTTTCTTCTGGTCATATGAGCCCTGACAGGCATCTGATTACAGCGTTCCAGTCTAATGGCAAATATTTATACAACTTATGATGTCAGTACTGTAAATCTGTTAGTTTTAATCAATTGAAAGCATGTCAATGTGCCTAATATATTCTGAAGATTTACAATTCACAGCACTTACATGTTTTCTACAYTGTWTAATTTGTTGTGATGATAAACCAAACATTACAAATTTTGTTTGATTGCTGAGTTTTGATTTCATGTTTATTTTAAGTAGACATTCAATTTCACGTGACATTCTGAGAAAGAAATGAAGAGAAAGAACTGCATTAAACTTCTTGTTCCATCCTAAATTCCTGTCTTATATCCAAACTGTTTTCTTCYAAACTTGGAGAGGATCAGGGGTCGGATTTATAAAACGAGCGTACGCACAATTTGAGCCCGGAAACTTGCGTACGTCACTTTTCACGCCAAGGTTGTGATTTATAAAATACAAACTTGACGTGAAAATGTGCGGTGCCTTAAGCCAGCTCTGACCCATGCGTACGCTCATTTTGGAGATGGAAAACTGCGACACAGATGGTGAAGTGAGGAATTATAGCCACACTGCATCATGATCACTGTCAGAAATTTAATTTCATTTCATCAGACTTAGATTTTTATTTAGCTTTATCATCAGCTTTCTTAACAGTAATATTTATGCTCCTGCTGCTGAGCCACGAGGACCTTTGAAATAGGGCTGTGTATTGGCAAGAATTTGGCGATACGATACATATCATGACAGAGGGGTCACGATACGATATATCCC